CCCATCAGCTCCAAGTCAAGTAGTTGTTTCAATCTAGTTGTGGAGGGTGCAACTCAATGGCCCATGTGGGGATTGAACCGGCAACCTTGGTGTTACGAGCACTGCGCTCTAACCAACTGAGCTAACCAGCCGCCCTATAATCCTTCTTGAAGCTATGGTTTGATGTTTTCTTTTATCAATTTTGGAAAATTCACTCCGTCTTGTGATCCTGCTGAAAGCATTGCTCAGCTTCTTAGCCTCTCAGCTTCATGTTTGTTTTCAGAATTGCTAGTTACTTCACAGACAAGGTGGCTCCAAATCCAAAGGCAGGCTAACCTCAGTTTCTTCGGGACCCCCCACGCCTGCCATTTATCACTGTCATTGAGGTTCTCCAAAACCACTGAAACGAACTTTCTGTTGTTCAGTTTTTCTAGTTCTCAGCGAGAGGTTTGGTTCTACAACCTGGTGGTCCATTGCTAAAAGTATATCTCTTGGTACTTGCAATTAGTTCCTGCTTTTTAAAGCTAGAATATATGGCAGGCTTACAAACGTGCAAAATTGAAATCAAGTTAATGGCCTCCTCACAGGATGAACCTTCACCTATGTCCTATATTTCCCATTTAGAGACTACATTAAGACTCTTGAACACCAGTTTAGAGAAATTCTAGAGTTTTTTTTTTAAATAGAGAAGTGTGAGTATATTAGATTAAGAAAAATGAGATATGCCCAAATGTTTGCCTTGTAATGTGAAAAAATTAGTGTGGATTTCATTGGTGCCTACCTTTCCATATTTTACTTCGTACCGGTGTTTTCCCTGTTGAGAGGAAATTGAGGAATTTGCTTGCTCAGTGCTTCAAATGTGAGAGCCAATCTAAAGTGATATAATATTTCTCTGAATTTTCCATTCATTTCCCTATATTTCAGCAGTGCATTTTGGACATAATTCACTTGCTCTGAGATTGTTTTATTGGCTAGCAGAAAGACTGTATTTCTTCTTAGAGTTAAGGCTTATTGTTTCTTCATAATTTGCTTTTTATGCATTTGCAGAGGGTGCACGAGAGGAAGACCTAGATGCTGTGGAAGCTCAAATTGGTTGCAAGCTTCCTGATGACTATCGATGTTCATATCGTATCCACAATGGGCAGAAGCTAGTGGTTCCTGGGTAAGATGTTTGTTGTTTTGGTTATTTTTGATGATACAAGTTATTTCCTTAAATGAAAATAAACAAACTATATTTGTAGCTATTCTTAACAGACTAAAGGAGTATAGGAATTCTCTCTGCTTCCTTGTAGCAATCCATAAAACAGAATCTACAGCTTAAATTTGATTTTACCAAAATAAAAATCTCATAAAAACATTATTTTTATCAACACATCATTATATTGGGTCGTCGGGAAAGTCATGACGCATTTTTGCATTGAAAAACATGGAAAAATACGTCATGACTTTCCCGATGACCCAATAGTTAAAATGAAGTCTGTTTGGGTGGGAGGACTATGGGACATAGAGGAGGTGTATGTGTGAGTATATTTTAACTAACACTGTTTGGAACCTTTGAAATACTTATCCTGTTACAGGCCAGGTAATCTGTGTTTGGGAGCCTCATGCAAATTCTTTTACCATACATGTAAAAAGCAATATTTGTTCAGAGCTATGTACGCTAAATTAAAGATAATACAATTTTGTCCTATTCAAGTATAGCCTATAATTAAATGGCCTATTTTAAACTTACTTCTAAAAGATGAAGTATTCATTGTGGAACCTTTTGGGAAAAGCAGACCATGCAGTGGCTGTCAAATTCTCTTGCAATTTTAAATACTAGATGCTTTGAATGGGTCTGCTCCTTTTATTCTTTATCTATTTCAGAGATACCGCATTTGTGAAATGCTAATAAGAATTTAGGGTGAACTTTGCATTGTTCTTATCGGAATGTGGTGCCTCTGTGTGTAAAAAATCCTGTGAGGCTCCGCTACCATTTCAGATCTGGGTTGAGTGAGTACAAGAAATCTTGGAGGTGATCATACTGAGATTATGAGATAGTATTCAGTGCCAAATATTGAGCAGCTGGGACTAGATAAGCCTAAGTGGCTTTTTTTTTTCTAGTCTGTTTTCCTATTGAACTGAAATTTGACAAAGTTGAAAAATTGTCACATTTCAAGAGCCAATAGGAGAGAACTTATTAAAAGAGTTGCCCAGAATTGACATGACAAACAGGTTATCAGTTTCAACACAGGAATTTTTATCTATTCACAGCCCAAATGGTGAGACTGAGGATAGGAATATCATCAAGGACCCACACCTGTGTTCTCATGGACATGTAGTGAGATGAATTTAGATCTCACGCATCCTAAGTTTATGAAAATTTTGACAAGTTTTGGGCTGATTAATATTTATACTGTCTGATACGATAGGGTAAGCTAAAGGTTGTATGAAGATAAAGATATCAGAGGAAATTTACCTTTCTAAACATTAGTCATACATACATACATAGCAAAACACTATGTTTTGTCATGGCAAGATAGATTCTTGAAAGCAATAAAACTATTTTGCTTTGTAAAAAAGATGACATTTAGCTATTTTAGACATTTATGCTTTTAATTTAAATCAGAATCCACTCGAGTTCAAATTTAATATATAGAAACTAGTGTTTTTGGCATCTCGGTTTAGAATCGATGTGTTAATCAGTTCTTGTAAAGTTAATATGAAAATATTATTCAACAAAAAGATAAAAGCTGTTTAGCACTGCAATTGATTAAAATTTTGAGTCTGTATTCTCAGGTTGTTGGGAAGTATGGCGCTGTCTAATCACTATCGTTCTGAGGATTTGTTAGATGTCGATACGGCTGCTGGAGGCTTCCAGCAGAGACAGGGACTGAAATACTGTCTCCCTTTAACTTTTTGCATACATACTGGTTTGAGTCAGTACATAGCAGTGGAAGCGGCGGAGGGCCGAAACAAAAATGAAGTTTTCTACCAATGTCCAGTAAGTAGGAAGTGTGTTTAAATGTGGCTTTAAGATGTGTTGTGATGAGTGTATAAATGTGTATATTGGGAATTTTCAGGGTAGTAGAATGGGTGTACAGCATTATGCAATTTAATCATAGACTTGTCTAACTACATGGTTAATAGTCTTAACATAATAGCATGGAATGCCAAAAGATATTTTAACCAATAGACAAACAATACAAACTACTGTACATACAGAGGGAAAGCAATGATTTGCATTAAGGCATTTTAATTTAAAAAAAACTAATGAGCTTTTTGTTGAAGTAATTAATTGTAATATACATTTCTAACCTAAAAAATTTCACTTTTGAACATTTGATTCAAGATCTGAGTGCAGTTGGAACTTTTTAAGCTCTTCAGTAGGTATTTGAGTTGTTGAAAAATGTAGGTGCTGTTTAGGGGGCTTTTGTTATGATTTTAATGTAATTAGAAAATATGGTATTTGGTTTCAGTCTTAGTTCTTCAGTTCTAAGAGGAAGAACTAAAAAGTGTGACGAATGTCTGAGTATTGTGTAGAGCACTTAAGTTATGTTTATCTGTTTTGCCTTGTCTTCAGGGAAGAATATATATAATGAACAATGAGAAATTAAGTAAAATGTATTTTTCTCAGTTATAATATCCTTTTTCTCACCTAGGACCAAATGGCTCGGAATCCAGCTGCTATTGACATGTTTATCATAGGTAGGAGAAAAAATAAAGTTGTCTTTTTCCCTTCTTCCTCCCAGTCAAAAAAATTAAGTTGGTAGAAACTTTTCAGTTACTTGATCGGCTGACAATTTTATACTTGTATTTCTTTAGGCTTGCTGGTTTATTAAAATGCTGTATCTGGGCTCTCATTAGAATAGCCCTTGTACTTTGTTTGAATTTGGTTTCTATTTGGAAAAAAGCCATGCCTCATACAACCTTGTTCTCTTAGGGACCCTGCTATAGAACAGTGAAATGTATAGAATTGTTATGAGTAGATGGTTCCCCTACACCAGAGGTCGGCAAACTTTTGAGACGGAAAAGCTTTCCCTCACAACAATTTTAAAATTATTCAAGAGCCATAAAACAAATGAAGTCACCATTGTGTGAATAATATCCCTTAAAAATTTTATAAATGAAACTATGATAGTTTTATTTTCATTTTCAATTTTACTTCAGAGCCACATACATGTACCCAAAGAGCTGCATGTGGCTCGCGAGTGGCAGTTTGCTGATCCCGGCCCTACACGCACATGCATTTTCTGTCAATCATATTAATACATAGAGATATAGATATATAAAACCACTTTATACTTTTTCTCTTTTGGTACCAAGGCTATATAGTAAAATACTGATGAGTCACACAAGAGACCTCAAAACAGCAGACTTAAGAGACCAGCATAGGGCCGGCCAGAGGTTCGCGTTGGTTAAGAGTTGGCTTGGGACTCCAGCTCTGAGCAGCAGGGCCCCGGTTCGGATACCACTGAGGGTCAATGATGCTGCGCCTTCTANAGTTCCCAAGATTTCAACACCTGCTGTACATTGCATAGTGTAATAATACACTCCCCTTGAGTGTAAGTGGTGCTGTGGATATCATTGGTTTCAGTTCTGTGATTAGGTCATATATAGCAATGATGAAGGGGTTTTGCAGATGTAATTAATTAAAGTTCCAAATTTGTTGATCTGAGTTAATCATTCATCACAGGAAATTGTAGTGAGTGGACCTGACCTACTCAGGTGAGTCCTAAAAGGAACTGGGCCCTTCCAGAGGTCAGAGATTTGAAGCATGGGTGACTTTCCTATGGCCTTGAATAAGCAAACTGGCAGGTTGTGGAGAGGGCGAGGTAATAGGGAATGGCAGCTGAGGGTTTCAGCTGCACCTGCAAGGAACTGAATTCTGCTAACAACCAGTGAGCTTGGAAGAGAATCCCAAGCATAAGATGCATGAGATAAGATAAGCACCCTTAGCTGATATCATGATTTCAGCCTTGTAAAACCTGAGCAGATGATTCAGTTCAGACATACCCAGACTTCTGAAGTACATAAGCGGGAATAATTAATGACTGATTTAAGCTACTAATATTGTAGCAATAGAAAATTACACCCACTCTGATTGTAGATATATATTTTTCCATTTTAGTGCTTCGTTTAATAAATGTATATATTGAAGCTTTTATTAGACACAAAATTAGAATTATAATATTTGTGTAGTGAATTCAACCTTTTTACCGTTTTAAAGAACTCCTCCATTACCACTAACAATGCTGTTTGCCTTAAAGTCTATTCTGTGTGATTTCACTAGAGCTATTCTAGCATTTTTTTTCTGTACTTACATCTTTAAGATGTTCCTCTTAGATATGATCATGCTTTGTTTTTTATCTGGTCAGTCTGTCTTTTAATTAGATTATTTAGTTTATTTATGTTTAATGTAATTACTAATATATTTGAATTTAAATATACCATGTCTCTATTTGTTTTGTTTTGTTTTTTAAAAAACTTTATTGGGAACAGTGTTTTTTCCAGGACCCATCAGCTTCAAGTCAAGTCATTGTTTTCAATCTACAATAGTTGTGGAAGGCGCAGCTCACTGGCCCATGTGGGAATTGAACTGGCAACCTTGGTGCTAAGAGCCTGCACTCTAACCACCTGAGCTAACTGGAGGCCCCACTATTTGTTTTTCATTTGTATCACCTGAGCAGGTGTTCCTTTTTGCATCATTCTTAATTATATTTTATTCTGTATCCCCCTTTTTTATTTAATTAAAGTCTGTTTTAAATTAGTATATTCACCACTTCCTGGAAAATGAAAGAACATTAGAATATTTTAACTCTAATTTCCTCCCTCCTGCCTTTTGTATTATAGTTTTTGTGATTTTAATTTTCATATTTTATATTCCTGAAAATGTTATTTTTCAACATTAATTTAGATTTATCTTTTCTGGTTGCTCTTCATTTCTTCCTGCATCTTCATGCTTTTACCTGGGATCATTTTTCTCTGCCTGAAGAATTCCTTTTAGTATTTTTTAAAATGAGGGACAGCTACTGCTGAATTTTTTCAGATTTTTTTGTCTACAAATTATTTTTCATCTTCACTTTTGAAGTATATTTCACTTGATATAGAATTCTAGACAGCAGTTATTTTTTTCTGCACTCTATACCATCCTTCTGGCTTGTTTTTTGAGAATTTAGGGGTCCGTATTATTGTTGCTCCATTGAAGGTGATTATGTAGCTTTCTTCCCCCTTCTGGCTGCTTTTAAGATTTCTCTTTGCCTTTGGGGCTGGCCGAGTGGCGCGATGGTTAAGAACTGGCTTGGGACGCCAGAAGGCCCCCATTCGGATCCCACATAAGAGAGCCAATGACACTGCCCTCCACAGCTAAGATGCTGAACAACAGCTCAACCTGGAGCTGGGCTGCTGTGATTCGCCGGCGACGGCGTAGGCTGCAGCCCATGCTGCAGTGGGTTGCCATGGGCTACCGTGTGTAGCCAGCAGCCAGCGTGAGTGGCCAGCAGCCGCAGTGAGTGGCCATCCAGAAGCCAGCGATTGATCTGCCTCACCGGNTTCTTGCAAATAGCAAGTCAGTAGCTATTAACTAACTCCTGGCAGCTATTATTTATTATCTCTAAATGGGACATCCAGGTATTATAGATAGTATTAGAGGTAATACTGGTTCATAGTAGCATGTTTGGCAGAAACGATAGCTTAAATATACATTAGCGGACGCTGGAATAACATACTAACGCATTGTTATTGTCGGAGCCACTGTTTATAGGGTCTAGCTGGGTTTTCAAATGTCCCAAAAGTTTCCTTAGCTCTGAAAATGGAGATAAGTTCTTTTTAGTTTCCAAGTTCATTACTGATCCATTAATAAACCACTGCTCACTGAACTTTAACGACTATTATTACTGATCCAGAGTCTTCAAGGTTTTCTGGTTTGTTTATAATTTCTAGTTTTCTCTTAGCTTAACAGGACTATCCCTTTAAGGTCCCAAATATGATTTAAATTTTTGATCCTAAAGTGAAGTATAGTATATTTTGCCTTGCATCTTTAAACCTTTTATAGAATTGACGTTAGTCGACTGAAAAATATTTAATTTTTAAAATTACCTAGATATGTTCATGATCCAGAGTGTGTAGCAACAACTGGGGATATTACAGTGTCAGTTTCCACATCGTTTTTGCCAGAACTGAGCTCTGTACATCCACCCCACTATTTCTTCACGTACCGAATCAGGTGAGAATTTTAAAGGGGGTTGGTTGCCTTTCAGTTAACAGTGGGATATATCCTATGGATGTGTTATTATTGCCCCATTTGACATGATATATAAAACACATTTTGAAAGGTAGCTTCTTGCTGAATTGTGGAGGAATGTGGGTAACAAAATTTTCTATGATATAGTGTTTGTAAAGTACCTTGAGTTTACGTTAACCTCTTATTTATTTCTTGCAAATATAAGTATTGTGCCACTTTACACGGTGGACCACCAAACTGGAATCATCACGAAAGGTCAAATTAGAGTTGTAATGCTTTCTGGAACCTATCAAAATTGCCCAAGTAAAATCATGCTTTTTAAGAGACTGACGTGCTACCTATTGCGCTGAGTCACTTAAAATCATGCTTTTTAAATTTCACTTGTCTATATTCAATTAAAAGTCAAATATTTATTGAGCACTGCCTGTGTATCAAACATGGTGTTAAGCACTGGATTTAGTTAAATAAAAAACAAATATTAAATTCACTTTAATTAGAAATACTGTGCTATGACATAAAGACAACTTATTGCTCTAAGGGACTAAGGATACTTTGTTTTTGATATAATTTTATATACTTTATGATGTTATACATAGTGTTTTAAAAACATACACACACACACACACACGCACGCACGCACGCACGAAATGCTTTAGTAATGTATACTTACCAGGAGCATCCTAGGATTTTGCTTTTACGTAGCCTTTGATATGTTTAGTTACATATGTACAGATGTTTGTTGTTTAATTTAAACCTTGCCTAGGACTGAGACATGCTTAAAATAGTAGTACCAACACATGCTTATAGGATACTCAAAATGAAAATAAGACACAGCAGATTCCCAGAGGAAGGGAGGAAAATAATAGTATTGGGAAGCAGAGTCAAAGTGTAACCCCAGTAACTGGGATTTGTGCTTTCTAGAAGCTAATGGAAATAAAGAGAAATGGGTTGCATAGCTTTATAGTTAAAAAAAGACTTGGTTTTTTAAAACAAGTTTTTCATGGCACTATAATTCTAGAATGTATTTCCCACACTGATCTTTATTTGAACAGCAAAAGATTGTTGTCAGCATGTCTTTGTAAGTTTTTATGTTGACCTTTCTATTGTAGATCCTCACTGAAAGACAGGTGTGTAAATTAAATGAAAGCGTTTCCATGGGGGAGTCAAGCTAATGAGGCCAATATCTAGGAGAACTTCCAGAAATAGATGATTAACACACACTTTGGGTTGGGTTTCCTAATTTTTTTTTTTTTTGAAATTCCCTTCATTGTCTTATCCCAAATACTATAACTTTGAAACAAAAGAAACAAAGGCCTGATTTGTGTCTCTTCTGCCCCATTCCTTTCTCCAGGATTGAAATGTCAAAGGATGCACTTCCTGAGAAAGCCTGTCAGTTGGACAGTCGCTATTGGAGAATAACAAATGCTAAAGGTGATGTAGAAGAAGTTCAAGGACCTGGAGTAGTTGGTATGTAACACAAGATTTGGGTTTGTACATCGGTTGCTTCTAAGACATTTTGGAGGAGCATGTATGTGACACACAGCTTGGAAAATGCACCGGGTTGTTAGTGGATAAGACTGCATCTTTTTTTTTTTTTTTTTAATTTTATTGGGGAACAGTGTGTTTTTTCCAGGACCCATTAGCTCCAACTCAAGTCGTTATTTTCAATCTAGTTGTGGAGAGCGCAGCTGAGCTCCAAGTCAAGTCGTCTTCAGTCTAGTTGTGGAGGGCGCAGCTCACTGGCCCATGTGGGAATTGAACCGGCAACCTTGGTGTTAAGAGCCTGCGCTCTAACCAGCTGAGCTAACTGGCTGCCCCAAGACTGCATCTTTTCAATAGCTGTGTTTACAATGTGAACAATATCATAGATTCTGGGCTTCTCCTAACTACAGTACTTTGTTTCATTAATATAATGTGTAAAGGTCATTATTCTATCAGTTTAGTACTTTAAACATAACTTTTCTAAAATTATAGCAAACTTAATTATTCAGAAATTGATCTTCCATTCCATGGATCACTCAGGTTCGTTGCTTTTTCTTTTTAAGTTTGTTCTATTTTTTTAGGTGGATAATTTTTCATTATCATATTCTGTAGGGTTACAAAGCATAGGACAGAAAGAGAATAAATTTCATATTGGTCATCTTTTTGAAATTTTGGGGGTAATGACTTCAATCATCTAGCTTGATTTCCATTGACATTTGGCTTTCTAAAAAATTATGATTATCTTAAGTTTCTGAACCCTTAGATTCTTCAGGTTTTGTATTTGTGCTTCCGGAAAATAACATATTTAAGCTATGCACTTCTGTAATCTGTCCTAAGCACATACACAATTCAGTTTAAATTAAAGTTGTTCTAATTCATTGCCAACAAATAAATTCATATTCTATATATTTATTTAAGGAATTGTTCCTGGATTTATTTGGGGATCTAGTGCTTAAGAATTTTATTGGGCCAGCCGAGTGGTGCGATGGTTAAGAGCTGGCTCGGGGCGCCAGAGGGCCCCAGTTCGGATCCCACATATGAGGGCCAGTGACACTGCCCTCTACAGCTAAGATGCTGAACAACAGCTCAACCTGGAGCTGGGCTGNGAACTGGGGCTCTGCTGCTCAGAGCTGACATCCCAAGCCAACTCTTAACCAACACGCCACTCGGCCGGCCCTCCATTTTGCTTTTTAAAGGCATTTCTGGCATATGTTAAATATCCCCATATACTACTAATAAAGGGCCCTTGCAGGGTAAGGTGTCTATATTTATTTTTCCTACTTGACAGCTTGGACAGAGTATAAGTCTCCATTTACTTTGGCACATTATAGGTTTGTGGCATCCTTCACAAAATCAAGAAGCTGTCACCCGTACGTAGTAAATTATAAAAAGCTTTCACACGTAACCCCTAGCTTTTGGTTCTCCTGATTTATGTGGTTTGTAGTTTCTAAGTTAAGCAACCACTGGGGTTATCCCCCTGCCCGTTGTCCTCTTTAGCATCTTTGCATAACACATTCTTTAAGAAGTATGATTTCAGAGCCATTGTTTATAGGGTATAGCTGGGTTTTTAGCTGTCCCAAGTTTCCATGGCTCTAGTGCAGTGGTGCTACTCAGTTTATAAACTGAAGGCTGCCTGAGCTCTAAGGTAAGCTCCCTGCTAGGCTCTGAGTTTCTTACTCTTAGTTTGGTGCTGGTCTGATGTGGTGTGGAAGACCCCACCACTACAGCAGAGTATCAAGGTCTGATAATACTGTTCTGGCAGTTAGGATTTCTCCTAGAATGAGAAAGCAGAACAAAAGACTTGAGATGCACTGAGACAAGATCTGGGAGGAAAGATAAGAAAGCTTCCTTTAAGCTACCTTGATAAAACCTCAACATAAGATGGAATCTCCTGGTGTTCAGTGCATTATTAATAGATATTTAAGAAAACTGGATTCTGTGTTCAGATGGGTAGTGAAAGTTGCATAGAAAATTCTGTCCTCATCTTAAAGAACACACTTTGGTATGTATGTATTATAATAAATTTAAGTACATTGAAATACAGTATGTCAATTTATGTTTTTTTGAAACCATAAGATTTTTTTATACCATTTTATTCCATGAACTATATTAAATTATTTTTTTAAACTCCAGAAGGAAATTACTTGTCCTCAAAACATAAAATTGTACCTTCTATGAATTTTAATATTATTCATGTCATTAGAGATAGGCTCCTTAATATCTTGCTCAAAGTAGATAGATGTTCAGTGACCCTTTTGAATATAGTAGCATTTAATAAATGAATCAGACCCAAGCCTAAACTGTATCTTCTATTATTCCCAAAATAGAATGTTAAGTACATACTATAAATTTAGCATCTAACATTTCGCATGGCGCAGAGTACAGAAACTGGGTTAATAGAAACAAGATTACAAATAAATTGATTAGGCATCATTGATTAAGGGACTAATAATGTGCCAGGCACTGAGATTAACAAATGGGAGGAGTGGGGCTCAGAAAGTTATGTTGTAGTACCTAGAAGGGGAAAACATAATTTATGTAAATTAAATGCTGGTTATTGCTCCAATCACTAGATCATGGATGTATGAGCTGGACTGGCCTGTTTTACTCATTCTTTTCTGCTTCGAGCTGGTCACTGAGACTGTGGAGGACCATTGTGCATTTGAATCTCTGGTAGTGCCACTCATCTCTTTTGGGATTGTTCTGAGGCCCAGAATTCCACAGTACCACACTGTTAGATGTCCAGGCTGAGCATGAGTCAGAGTGTACCCTGATTGTCTGAGGATAGATAGGTGCTGATATTTGTCCTGTAGTTTCTTCCTAAAAGTAATGGTATCTCCTTTGTTCAAGAAATTATAAACAGAAGGCTTTTTTCATTCTTATACCAGAACAAATTAAAGTTTAAAAATCTGTTATTTAATTCTAAGTGTAAAAAGTAGTTTGAAGGTTGTTGGAGGATTTCCTCTTAAGGTAGATGGGAATAAGATGGATAGAATTGAGGATAGAAATTGACCTAATAAAAGACTAGTGGAATTATATCTGTAAATGTTTCTAGTTTTGATATCACATCTTAAGCATAGAGAAATTAAAGTTGTTTCCTTGTTTCCTGATAGATTTTACAAAAACAATTTGTCCTTTTTCTCTCCCCCTTCCTGGTTTACAGGTGCTACTTTTACTGACTGGTTCACTTCCTATGTCAACAATGTTGTATCAGGTGGCTTCCCTATCATCAGAGACCAAATTTTCAGGTATTTCACTCGGGGTTTTTTGGGACCTGAAGTTTTTACTTCAGTTACAGATAATTAGATGAATTTTCCCAGGAAGGTTAATAACAGAACCTCTCATAATCACAAATTTATTTTATTCTCACTTTAAAGCCAAAACATCCAAATACTTGAACAGCCAGTATTTTTCTTGCTTGAAGACTCAAGAGAAAAAAACTGATTTTCATTTAGAAGTTATAGCTTTATAGAAGTTGAATAGTTCTTTTTGAAGAAAAAAAAAAGCTGTTTGCCAATTAGTAGATTTCTTTT